TAAAACCGAATGAAATCTTTTGTTAACATTAAATGTTTTCTTCACATTTTGACTATCATTAAAGCCTAAAGATTCTTACAGAATTGGCGTCTAGTGACTGTAATGGCCAATTTAAAGCAACAATATGGTTTTATTGTTTTCATTGAGTACCAGTTCCAGAAAGAGTCTGCTTCTAAGTATATCTTTTTTCAAGTATCCAATCATGGCTATTGAAGTGAAGCACCACAAACCCCCAAATCTATAAGCAGAGAAGCATCTATAAACATGCACCTTTCAGGGATGCTTACCACACCTTTGTCCTTTTTTTTGCCAAACACGTTTTAAGGGGTTGTACAATACAAAACCTGACTCAGCTGTAAATATTACAAGTCCATTACTCCAATCCCGGTTGATATTTTTCTGCGCAGTGGTTTCTTCTCAAAAAGGAGAACAAAAGCTCACTTGTCAGATGGCACGTGATTCCTCTTTCTTCCTGGCTTGTTATCTATTTTTCCGCTTCCTCCATAATGGTCAGCCCATCTCTTCACAAATGTACAACTCGTATTAAATACTGCAGTTTTTTTAATACAGTGAAACCTTGATATAACGAACCTCAATATAACTAATTCCTTGATATACAGAATTTTTCAAAATCCCCTAGCACTGGCTATAAGAGCTCATGTAAAATATACCTTTGTATTACGAATTTTTTTTTTGCAACCTCACTATTATGAATTTTTAAACTCAGCAAAATATAGATCGAAACTATTTTTGACCTTTACTTAACGAATTTTTTGATCCACAACCTTCATATAACGAATGACTGCTTTTCTCGTCAGCTGTTTGACTGTAGTCAAAAACATCCCCCCCTTAGTTAATCGCTTTTTCACTATAGTTTGCTTACTCCCTCCACTAGCTGGTAAAAGCTGATGATATGATTGGCTCGCAGCTACTTGCGACTTTTCCAAGAAGCTGAGGATGCAAAGCTCAAATTTTCAATTCCTCTTTCGCTGCAACTGCGATTACTACCTACAATCTTCCATAAAACAGTTTTCTTAAAAACTAATTGTAAACTTCGTCCTTTGATCCAGTAAATTCGGTTGCAATGGCTGAAAAACGTAAAAGGTGTTCGTTAAGTGTTGCAGAGAAACGAAAAATAATCAAGTTTGTAGACGAAAATGCTTCAGTAAAAAAATTAGAGATTGCCAGGAAGTTTGACATTCCAGCAGGTACATTAGCTACAATTTTGAAATCAAAAGAAAGATTTGCTGAAGAAAGCGGGCTACCTGCAAATAGTATATATAATATATTATATAACAAACCTCACTGTAACGAATAACTCGATATAACGAATATTTTCTAGTTCCTTTCAGATTCGCTATATCAAGGTTAGACAGCCTTAAAACGTTTCTTATACTGAGCACTAATTTTTCTTATTTCAAGGTACGACGTGACACATTGCGAAGATCGAAAAAAATCGACCGAATTGTACGCAACAGTGTTCGCAATTGACCGTTTTTTATTAATTTTAAAAATAAAACAAAAACAGTTTTCCGCGAACTGATCACGTTACGAAAAACGTTATTTTTTGAAGGTAGTAGTAATGAAACTAAGTGAGTCTATGACAAATAGCAACTTTCGCTCAGTCAAATTAATTTAGTACAAAGGAATATATAATTGAGGAATATCAAATTTGCCACGATTTTTGTAATACCCAAAAAGAAACGTCGAAGACCCTACAAATTTTATATACAGGGTGGCTCACGAATCATGCTACAAAAACAAACCGTAATCACTTTGTTTTAATCAATGCGTTATATATATTTTTTTTATTGTATAGCAAATTTTATTTTATTTTATAAAATTAATTACTTATAAAAATTATGGACCGTAAAAGACATCCATGCTCAGGCACGCATATACGACACCTAATTAGAAAATTATTCTTTGCGGCCTGAAGGGTTGAAGTCGGAATTGCATCAATTACCGATTTAATGGACTGCTTCAATTCAGTTAGATTTCTGGGTATAAATGATCGACATGACGAGCTGAATCTATTTAACCATATTCGTCTGTCTGCCCTTCTATATATACGCGAACTAGTCCCTCAGTTTTAAAATATCAACCTGAAATTCAGCACAATTCTTTTTTTCACCAACATCCTGGTAATTTTTCTTTTTATACCCTTTTATGCTATAAAAAATGCACTTGTAAAGGGTATGATAGCCTCGGTGCAGCCGAAGTTAACGTTTTTTCTTGTGTAATATATATAAAGTTTTACCAACCCTGAAAGTATTTCCCCGCGATCTATGCCAATTGTGGGAGTATAAAATGTTTATTTTTAAGAATTTAATTGTCTGCTGATGCATTAATGTGATTAAAATAATATTGTAATAATTGTGCATAAACGTTGCGTTCTTATGAATTGATATTTAGTATATATTTTTTCAGATTCTTTTGAAGTGTAAATTTCATTCAACTTGAAAAACCAAATACTTTTTAAAAGTTTAAAAAATTTTAACTTTGGGCTGTTATCTCTGTAAATAACAATACTGTTTCCGTTTCCAACGCAAGCATAGCGGCAATTACAATATAATTCACTAGCCTTGTGCAATGGGGATGATATTATTATATCATTCATTATTCATATTATAAGCAGTCTTATTTCTTTTTGTTATTTATTTTATTCTTATACTTTAGTTATTATTCATTCATTAACACTTTTCTGAAAATATATGTACTGAAAATTAACAAAGAGAGGAAATTCTAATAATTATAATTAGTAAATAATACTCACACTCCAACAAAAGTACTCCATTTGGGAACGGTTGAGATCTCATGATCAACATATCGGGTAGAAACAAATATTTATACATACGCACGTAGTACTCGTACAGTTGTATAAATGCAGATTAAAAATGTTAAATTTATGTGAACTGATATTGTCGCAAGAAAACGATATTTACCATTTCGTATATTGTACATGGTTTTTGTATGAATGTGATACATTTAATATATCATGGCGCAAAAGTAAATCACAAATTAAGGGCAAATTATAATTATATAACAATATTTACACATAATTCTTCATATTGTTTAGTTGCTTTATGCTGACTTTATCGTTGCCGTTTTGATCCAATTGGACTAAAATTGGTAATTTAATTTACCTTTGGAAATTTGATATTCGCTTAAAATTGTATAATTTCTTGGTTGCTATTCATACTAACTTTTACTAAATAAAATATAACCATGAATTAGAACTGTGAAAGAAACCTGGAAAGTGTCAGGAATGTTATACAAAACCCCCTCATAATTGACCCTCAGTTAATTTATTTTTCCGCTTATTTGAATCACTGGATCGGTAAAAAATATATTACATACAAAATACGTTTAAATTTTTCCACTTAATTGAACCCGGTTAATTGCTTTCTCCGCATAATTGGTCAAAAATATGTGATATTGAAAAAATATACCTTTAATTTCTCCCGGCACAAAAAACTTTCGTTAAATATATATTATATATATATGTATATTTCGCCGCATTTGTGATGAGCAACAGATGGCATTCCTGCAAAGCAATTGAAAGCATTGTATGTTTATTTGACAAGAGTGATATAATCCAAGATTACGCCAACCGCCATCTTGTGATGTAAATCTTTTGAGTAAGTTGAGTAAATTGTAAACAAAAACGTAAACACTTTTGATAATTCGGGAAATAGACTTAATTTTAGTTTAAAGTGAAAAAGTTTTAGTGAAATTAATAGAATAATGTTGCGGGAAAATACTTTGGTAATTTTTCAATGAATACTTTTATTTATTGACAACATAATTGCCAATTAAGTGAATAATTAATAGAGACTGTGGTTGCGGTGTATCCAACAGTAATTGATATTATATAATAATATTGAAAGTTTCACAAAATTCATTTTACAATTTCTCGATTTATGGTTATCTTTTCTTTTATATTATGCACTTATTACACACTAACACTTCACTACAATGTTTCTACATATTTATTTTATATTAAATATTTAAGTATTTGCTTTAAATAAGCATTTAATTTTTACACAATTTTCGTAATATGAACAATAACAAATGGGATCAATGTTATAATAAAAAACCCAATCACCCTCTACAAAATATTATGAACTTAATTTTCTATTTTAATAAAAGAAAAAGGTTTTATGGCTTAAACGTATGTTTTATTGCATCTGATAATTTCACAAATGGATCATGATGCTGATTTACTATGTTTTACGCCATATGTATTCATGTATCAAATTTTCAAAATCTTCACTGTTATTATAATTATCCTTAATAAAAATTGAAGTTTATAGAGAGTGATATATTCTCTTTAACATTACTTTTTTTTTGTTAAGATTTTTTATTTGCACTGGCGGCCTTCGGCCGCGCTTCAATAAAATAACCCCGGTCGGTCCAACACCGGGGTGTTCATAATTCAATCGCGTCAAACTCCTTTCTGCAC